TAGGTCCCGGATCACCCCGGTCGGAAAATCTTCGGGAAAGGCCTTCGCCCTTCCCAAGGACTTTCCCTTACCAATTTCAATACGTTCTCCCCAATAAATACGAGGACCTCTCGACCGGGAGACGTCAGTTAGCAAGTTTTCCTCCGACTCTCAACGTGTCCATATTTCTGTCTCATCCGTCACTCGTTTACCTTTACCTTCTACACACTGTACCTCATCGCCTTTTGTTACAAGTTATATTAAAGTTCTCGTTATATAAAAACCAAAAAAACTCTCTCGGATTATTTTATATAAACCGTCGCAGTAACCCCTGCGACAAAGTGTCATTTCCAGCAGGACAATGCTAGGCCGCACACGTCTTTGTCCACTCGGCAAAAATTGATGGATATTGCTTGGGAATTGATGTTACACCCACCGTATAGCCCTGATCTCGCGCCATCGGATTACCACTTATTTCGATCCCTGGACAACTCCCTTCGTGGTAAAACTTTTAACGATGACGACGCTGTAAAATCTCACTTAACTCAGTTTTTGACCGAAAAGGATCAGACTTTCTACGAGCGTGGAATTTTCAAGTTGTCGGAGAGATGGCAAAAGGTCATCGAACAAAATGGAAAATACATCACAGATTAAACTTCGTTCCAAGTAAAAAAAAATTTGTTATTTCATTGAACAAATCGGCAATTACTTAGTTGCCAACCCAATAGCTGTTCCAATCTCGTTGGAAAGTGTGTAAGTTACTCTAATTATACTGCGTACGTTTGATTTTCATTATATTCTCTTCAAATACAACATTATTATGAAATATGTAATTTAATGAAAAACATCAAAGTATAGTAGTGTCTTTCTAATTGACGCTCAGATTGTGTACAAAAATGGACAATTTGGGAAGAGTAGGTACGATTATTCGAGCCTTACAGCTCGTTTTTATAGTTGTTGAAAATTCGTAACTATAAAAACAAACCGCATATCTCCTATCCCCAAATTGTCCATCTTTTTTAACAATCCGAGCGTCAATTAGGGAGACGTTACCGTGTACGTATATACTTAAATGTTCTTCATTGAATTATATATTATATAATTATAATTATATATTATATCCGTTTTAACCTATTAACTGTTTTTGACGAGTAACATTTTGTGTTACAACGAGTATACTCGTTGTGGAGAATTGGCAATATCTCGTGTTACGACGAGTATAATCGTCAGAGACAGTTCTGTACAATTTCAACTCTAATTACAATGTTTGAAAATACAGTATATCGTCTCTAATTATCCCTCAGCTTGTAAACAAAACTGAACGATTTGAGAAGAGGGGATACGATTATTCGAGTCTCGCGACTTGACGGTACAGTCGCCGATTGTCAACAACTATAAAAACGAGCCGCGAGGCTCGAATAATCGTATCTCCCCCTCCTTGTTCATCTTTGTTTACAAGCCGAGGGTCAATTAGGGAGAATATACAATATTCGTCGGCATAGAAAGATTAACTTTGCAATGGCTGGAAGAGGGTCTCTAATGAACTGCTGAAATAAACGCTGCAAATAAACTGATTACGGGGGATTTTTACGCAGTTGGCACTGCAGTCGACTCGTTAACGAAGGAACCGTAATTTTTCCTTGATTCCGGCGTGTACTGAAATTTGTCAAACTTCCTCTCGGTGTTGCAGAAAAGCGCGGGAGGGGTCATTAATAGCTCTGAATCGCGTAGCGACGATAATTTCAGGTCGGAAGTTGCTCGAACGAGAAAGAGAGAGAGAGAGAGAGAAAGAGCTGGAGGTATCGGAACGGTCACCGGGAAAGTAGCCTGAGAAAATGAAAAGCAAACGACCGAGCAACAGAGACGGAAAGGGATGGAAGACAGAAGCATTCGCAATTTAGCATCCCCTCGACAAAGCGTTTCTATTATTTATAAACGGCAATAACGCCGGCGGGGGTTACTCCAGTCACGAGAACTCGCGTTCCATTCGACTCGGGGCAGGAACGGCAACGAGCAATTGATGCGAGCACGGCATGGATCGCGAACGGGATACCTGGATCCTCGTTTTTTCTCCTCTCGCGGCCCCGCGCTTCCCCGAGCTGTCCAACCGCCCGCGATTTTCCATTGTGCGCTGGAAAAGCAGAAAGGCCGGACGAAGAGAGACGAATGGCCGAAATTACACGGCTCGGGACGGTATCTAATTGGCTCGGTCGAAATTAATCGAAGATTGCTGTGCAATCAAATTTCGTTCGAGGCAGCGACACGCGACACGGGCCAAGCCATTTCCATTATCGCCGGTTAATAAAACACGCCGGCGCGCGCAGACGCGTCGCTAAACAGTTGGGTTATTGAAACGTTGATCGGTGGGATACGCGTGATTTCGGTTCGTCAAAGTGCTCCGACTCCGATCGACGGTGTACAAGGAACATTTGCGTTGTTGGCGGCAAATTACTTTGATTACGGTGACCGATGACACGTTTGCGCTGGTTGATGTTCCAACGGCTGAAACGTTCTTCGTTCCTCGAATAGATTAGAGGGTAATTTTGTGGATTCTACGGGGTGTTCCATAATTATGTTAACGCCCGGAAAGGGACGGTTCCTGGGATCATTTGAAGTAATTTTTTCCTTAGCGAAAATGCAATCCGCGGCTTTGTTTGCGAGTTATTTGCGGAAAACAGTGACCAATGAGAGGAGAGATCAGCTGCCGCGAGGCGGTTGAGCCAACGAGCGGTCGAAGCCCAGTTTCGCTGATTGGCTCGGCCGCCTAGCGCCAGGCGAGCTCGCCTCTTATTGGTCAGTTGTTTTCGTAAATAACTCGTAAACAAAGCCGCGGATTGCATTTTCGCTAAGGAAGAAGTTACTTCAAATGACCTCAGGAATTGCCCCTTTCCGAGTGTTAACATAATTACGGGATACTTTATATATTATTATTATTACTATTATTATTATTATTATTCTGAGTCCTCAACAGATTTCCTTTCTGGTTTGTACCCATCATGAACGGGCTATGTCAAGTTCATGTAGGTATCTTTATTGTAGAAATCATTTTACTATTGTTGTAGAGTGTTTAAAATGATTGCTTTTTATATATGCGAATATTTGTGTGTTCCTAAGTGTATCATATCTGTCTGAACGATTTTGTAGTTTTGTTATTATTATTATTAGCGTTATCATTATTATTATTATTGCTATTAATATTATTATTGTTCTTGTGGTTACTGTTTTGGTTATTGTTGTTATTATTATTATGCATTTATTAACAAACATATTCGCGAACATATCATAGCATTGACAACAGGAGAAAATAAGACGATACTGCCAGTGACAGTTTCCTACTCCTGCAACGATGACAATTTTTTACAACGAAAATATTCGACGACTACCATTCAACTTCGTGCATAACCAATCGCGACAGAATCGCCGAATCGACGATGGAAGTAACAGAACCAGACACGAGAGAACACCAGAAAATGCGAAATAGAATTTATCTCGTTAATCGCGAAACGGTAAAGAACAACACGATCAAATGCAAGTTTGCGCTACGTTTGGGAAGTTTCAAATATTATATAAATGTTCTAGTAGAGTTACATCAAACAGTCTAATTTCATTTCAACGAGCCGTTGTTCCTACCCAACTTCGTCAGCGTCCTTTAATATCGTCGCAGCCGGGAGAAGCAGGATTTACGACACCGCTAAATTCGGCACGCGAAGTTACAATATTCGTGGTGGCAACAATATTTGAATGGGGCAAAACGAAAACGTTAAATGTTACAAGCGTGGCGCACTGAACGAAGATGAACGAATGCTAACGTATCGCG